ACTGTGCTCCAGCCTGGGCAACAGAGTGAGACCATGTCTCTAAGGAAAAAAAGAAAGAAAGAAAGAATCACAAAGCAAATGTGGTAAAGTAGTAACAATGGGGAATGTGAGTAGACAGGACTTCTTTGCTCTATTCTGACAATATTTTTGTTAAGTCTTAAATTATATCAAAATAAAACTAAGTAAAAATAAATATTTGCATTCTCAGTGGTAGGTATAAAGTTCTCATTGATAAAAATTATCTGATGTCTACTCAAGGATGGCAGGAGGTGATGGGTAGAACAAGTTTAACAAACTGTTTCTTTCTGTCTTTCTTTCTTTGAGTTGGAGTCTCACTCTGTTGCCCAGGCTGGAGTGCAATGGCACACTCTCACAGCCATCACAGCCTCGACCTGCTGGACTCAGGTGATCCTTCCGCCTTAGCCTTTCAAGTAGCTAGAACTACAAGCACAAGCCATCATGCCCAGCTAAGTTTTTGATTTATTGTAGAGATGAGGTCTCGCCAAGTTGCCCAGGCTGGTCTCAAACCCGTGGGCTTAGGAAATCCTCTTGCCTCGGCCTCCGAAATCTTTTGTTGTTGTTGTTGGAGTCTCACTCCTAGGCTGGAGTGCAGTTGCATATTCATGTTGTTGGAGTCTCACTCCTAGGCTGGAGTGCAGTTGCATATTCACAGCCACCACAGCCGCGAACTGCTGAGTTCAGGCGATCCTTCCACTTCAGCCTTCCAAGGAGCTGGAACCACAGGTGTGCGACACCACACCCAGCTAATTTTTTGGTTTATTGTAGAGAAGAGGTCTGTCAAGTTGTCCAGACAGGTCTCAAACCCCTGGGCGCAGGCAATCCTCTCACCTCAACCTTAACAAACTGTTTCTAATTGCTGAAGCTGGAGGTAGGGCCAGGGTTCTTCTCTTAAGTTGTCCTTAAGACATGCCCAATGGTTCCTGCCCCAGGCTTTTTCAAGCCCTTCTTGGTGAGTGAAATGCTGTGTGTCCTATTTCATGTCCCTCCTTCCCACTGAGGGTTCAGCTCATGTCTCACCTTTTCCCTTCTGCATCTCCCAGGCCCCATTTGCCCAACACATTTCAAGTCCCAAGGATCTCAAGAGGGGTGGGGCAGGTAGGCCTCAAGAAACAAAAGAGGGCAAGGTTCATGATAAATAATAATAACATGAGGCCAGGTGTGCAATTAAGGGCTTCCTGAGTATTTAACTTAATCGCAGCTGGGCACAGTGACACATGCCCAGCGGAAATCCCAGCACTTTCCAAGGCTGAGGTGAGAGGGAGCGTGGGAATCCAAGATCAGCCTGGGCAACATAGCAGGACCTTATTGCTCCAAAAAAAGAAAAAATCAGAAAATTAGCCAGGCGTGGTGGCGGACGCCTGTACAGTCCCACTTACTTGGGAGGTTGAGGCGGGTAGATGACCTAAGCCCAGGAGTTCGAGGCTGTGGTGAGCAGTCAATCGTGCCACTGCTGATTACATAATCATGCCGCAGCCTGGGCTGTGGAGTGAGACTCTGACACACACACACACACACACACACACACACACACACACACACACACAGAAGGAATCTCATTCAATCCTCAGAACAACTCTGTGAATTGGGTACCATGATTGGCCCCATTCTACAGTTGAGGAAAAAGAGGCACAGAAAGGTTGAGGAACAGGCACAACTTTGCATGCAGGAAGTGGCAGAGATTTTAGGCGAGGAAGCCCTAGATGTAAACCCTTAACTCCCACGTGAGGCTCCTGCGTGGGTCACTCCCAGCTCATGGGGTCAGGCAGCCCAATAGGGAGAGGCGGGGACTGGGGCACCCTGGAAAGTCTGGATGCATTTAGGAGATGGTCTCCCCGCCCCTCGAGTCCAGTTTACCAACTCTGTCGACTTGTCCACGGAAACTAGAAATTTGGCTGTTTACGCAAAATCTCTGTTTCTTTCAATGTCAGCAACAAGGAAAAAATATGCAAATATGAACCCTGCGTGGGCGGGGCTGTGTTGGGTCAATCCAAGCCAGCAGCAGGAAGTTGGGGACAGGAGTCAGGGTTCACTGGTTGAGCAGGAGATTGCCCAACCGCCCGGGACATTTCACCTGGATCCCAGACGGGACCTCAAAGTCAGCACCTGAGTCTCACCATGCTGGTGCACCTTGGGGCCTGCTGTCCCGTCCCTCCTCCCTCTGTCTACACTGGCTCCCTGGACTCCTCCAGCCTCGAGCGGGTGCCCCAAACCGATGTCTCCAGACCTCAACCCTCACCCCCCACTGGTGACCCTCCCCACCAGGACATCCGGTGCACATCTCACCCCATTCCCCAACCCCCTCCCCAGCCCACTCCTGCTCCTTCCCTGATTTACAGTGACCTGCCAGTCGCTAGGGATAGGGGTGGGAGCGCAAAAAAAGCTAAAAACCCTTTTCTTTTTGTCTCTTCTTTTCTTTTTTTTTTTTT